TTTTTTTTTTCAGTGCTGGGGATTGAACCCAGGGCTCATGTATGTGAGGCAAACGCTCTACTTCTGAGCTATATAACTCAACTTCTTTTTGAATCATTTCTTTCCCAGCACCAGATAGACCCCTGGAGTACTTTGCTTCATTAAACCTTTTTTTTTTTAAAGTTACTGTTTTTCTTGTCTAGGCATGAACTTAAGCTAGTCCTTGAGTCGGGGCACAAGCATCTCTATACTTTCCTCCTTTAAAAAAGACTAATGTTCAAAATAGCTTTGGTTGGAAAAAGTGAGAGAGGAGTCTGTGATAGATGAGGGAGTGGGTGTCCAGAGACTAGTTAGCCTGAAAGAAATGAATGACAAAGCAGAATTAACAAGAAAATCTGGAAGCTCTTTCAATTCTCACTATTTGGAGATACAATCTTAGTTTATCTGCTTTGACTGTTTGGTTTTTATCCTCCTGCTTAGTGCTACAAAGGAATGAAAATAGTAATCTCCAGTTATTATAGAGATTCCAGACCTATGTATTAATTTGAGAAGTTATAAATCAAAATGTTTTCTTGGGGGCTTTCATTCTATAGAGTAAAGTAAAATAAGATTTGATAATCTAGACTCTAATTTAATTCTTCCTCTCTTCTTCTACCCTTAATACTTATAATAATATTATAAAACACATCCCATTTCCAGAGGCTTATGAAGTTCTTTGATATAAATTAAAGTTGATATATTGAATTGAACATGATATAGACTGAAGCAAATTTAAAACATTGTTTGAAAATTAAAATACTATTCTTCAGGTACACACCCATTTTCAAACATATCACATATTGCCAATTCTTCTCTCCCTGATCATGGACTATTGTTCTTGCCTTCTGATCTTTGTATAACATTTATATAACTTGGTATTAAGAGTACACAGTCTCTTTCTATTTGTTTATTTAACTACTAATTTTCCTTCAAAGTTAAACTGAAGTCTTGTCTCCTTCCTGACCCCACACCCTGTGACCTCTAGCCAATATGTAAACTCTTCATTCTTTTTTTGTCCACTTTTAGCTTTTATCTGTGTCTTACAGTTTTTAACAGTTTAGCATCTGATTGATGATATACTCACTGATAATACATGTAGTGCAAAAGTTAGAATGTGGGCTTCGTGGTTAGCCAAACCTAGTTGTACTGTTTGTACTCCCTTGGGCACCAAGTTTCTACATATAAAACACAAAGATGATAACTCCTAATTTACAGCATGTTCTGAAAAAAATTATATACAAAGTATAAAGTAAGTCCTTTAAAGTGTACAAAGGACTTGGAAAAGCACCTAATGTGGTAGTTATCATAATGTTGTTTTGAGTTATTCTCAAAAGCCTTTTTCCTAAATAGTGTATAATTTCTATAAGGATATTTTCTCTTATATAATTTTATACTACACATAAGGTTCAGTGCTGTTCTTCACATATAGGACTAAGTGTTTCTGAATATCTGTAGTCTAGTAGTTGGTGATCTGTTCTAGAAAAAATGATAGGTCTCAAGGAGGAAGTTGCAACATTTGGTTCTAGTAAGTGACTACAAAGACCTCTCTTGATGGACAGTGAAATGAAAGGCCCACATTCTTGTGCCATGGCAATCTGTGGGGAAATTAGGGTCTTAGACCCAATATTTTGGCCAAAGTCCAACTTGTAATAATTACATCCTATGTATCTAAACTTCCTTTGTTCTTCCAGATGGTATTGTTCAGTACAATTTGATCCTTACTTTAGTGATGATGTTTAGGAATGAACGACTGGTTTTTTTTTTTCTTTTACTAGACTGGATAGGAGTTGCTCCTTGGATAATTCCAAGACCAGAAGTGTCTATAATACCTTGTAGAATAGGAATTGAATTTAAAATAAAGCCTTATCAATGAAGAAAAGTAGAAATAAATTATATGCAATTTATTTAGTGAAAATGAATGCAGGTCTATATCCTTCAATTGAAAAATTTCACTTCTTTCTTTTTGTATTTTTAACAATAGGCATCTTAGCAGGTGTGAAAGAAGAGACAAGAGTTGGTGATGATAGGGAGAAAAGGGTATCTTTTTACACTGTTGGTGGTAATGTAAATTGGTATAGTCAATATGGAAAACAGTATGAAAGTTCCTCAAAAAATTAATAATAGAATTACCATATGATCTAGCAATCCCACTTCTGGGCGTATATCCAAAGGAAATGAAATCAGTGTCTTGAAGAGATAACTGTAGTCCGATGTTAATTGTAGCACTATTCACAATAGCTAAGATATGGAAACAAATTAAGTTTTTTGATGAATAGATAAAAAATTATATACATTATATATATATACA